AGGGGCTGTCGGGAAACAATCAGAAGCATCACACCATCCGTCGAAAGAATCATTTTGCAGCACGGAGTCAGGGAGCATGATCCCAGAGAGGACTGACAGGCCTAAACCTGCACACGTGTGCATGCACACACATGCACACAGGTGCACACACGTGCACACAGGTGCACACACGCGCACACGCACACGTTGTAAGCCCCGGGTTCGAGGCTGTATTTCCAGGCACACAGCACCCTGTCTACACTGAGGAGCAGCAGTGAGCGGGTGCCCAGGGAAGCACCAGGCACTTTTAAGGAATTCACCTAGCAGGGGGCGGGTAAAGGAGCTCATGATAGCGCTGGACACAGAAGGCAATCGGGGCACCATGTCTAGCACTCTCCCGCGTTCCTCTACCCTAACTCGAGCTGTCGTCCGCCTCTCAGTCTCTCACTGTTTCTGCCTCTCCCCGTCTCTCTCCTTCACAGATGGCACCCGTGTCCCTGGGCCTGAGGTGGGCACAGCATGGTGGCAGGAGGGCGTGTGGAGCAGAGCTGCTCAGCTCACAGCAGCTGAGAAGCGGGGACAGGGAGGATAGGGCCAGGGACGAGAGGCCCTGCATGTCCCAGTGACCTCCTCCTTCCAACAGGCTCCCTCTCCTATGGGTTCCGCCACTACCCACGAGCCAGCCAATGCCGACTCCATCAGGGGACGAGGTCAGAGTCCTCAGGATGCCACCAGTCCCCCAGCTCCCCACTCGGAACTCTCTGCACTGGGGACCCATCCAGTAACACGTGGCGGGGGGGGACACTCCAGATTCAAACCCTAACAGGACACTTCTCAAGGACCTGAGCGCCATCACAAGAAGACCCCAGCCTCCAAGACGGCGTGGGAGGACCACGGCTAACTCTGGTCATCACCCGCCCACAGACACAGATGCCTGGTGTCGTCACACAGAGCAGCCCTGGGTACTTTCACTTCCCCGACTGACCCCACGCACCCTCTTCCTTCCTTCCTTGCCTTCCCTTGGCTCCACTGAGGCTGTGGAGGCCATGCAGATCGGGGACAAACCGTCTTCCATCAGCTCTGCTGCAGGTGACACCTGTGACGTATGGGTTATGAGGACAACGGTTGTCTGGGTTACGTTTCAGGCCCTGGGAAACCATTTCGTCCGAATCACAGAATCCCGCTTGGTCCTGAGCAGGTGTCTTGCTGAGTTGCTCAGCACCTCGGTTTGGCTGAGGCTGGCTTTGAACTCACGATCCTCCTGCCTCGGCCTCCGGGGCCACTTGGATCACAGGCGTGCGCCACCTCATCTGGCGTCACCCAGCTTCTTTATCCGACTGAAATCCCAAAGTTTATCCTCAAGGAGGGGGATCTGAGTCTTGGACTTTCCCTCCCACACTTGGCCGTCTCTTGAAGGTGTTCTTTTGTAAAACTCATTTCAACCCTGGCTTATCGTCCACTGGGCCAAACGGGTCACACCGTCTCAGACAACCTTCTCCCCGGCCCCTTCTTCCATCACAACATTCAAACTTGATGAAGGGGCTGCTGGCAAGGGGTTGGTTGCGTGTCCCTCCCGGTTGGTTGCTCTCCTTCCCGGTCTTCACCATTCTTACTCCGTTCAGCTAAATGCTTCATGCCTGTTCCAAGCGGCGACTTCATATATTTTTATAGTCACCATCTGCTACAAAGGAAATGTCCTCCCTTCGTTTTAGTCTGAAAAGGTTAAAGCATTCTGCTAAACACGGAGAAGGCTTCTTGTCGAACCCAGGACAAATGCTAATTATCCAACAGTCTCCTTGCAAGGTCTTACTCGTGGACATCAGTTATTTCTCCTCTGTTTGATGAACCCAAATAATTGCACCAGTTCTCTGCGTAGATATGACCCCGGGGATCAGGGAGACACGGTGTTGCCCTATGGCAAGAGTTTGCTATTGCCGCACAACAGATGACCACCAGAGCTTCAAACAAGACACAGCCTTGCGCATGCTGACGGGAGGTCCCAATTGTGCGATGGGGGGGTACCAGGGCAACATTCAGCTGCAGGCAGGGCTCTGTGTTCCCCTCTGGAGGCTCCCGAGAAGAATCATTTCCTTGCTAATCCAGGTACTAGATGGAGTCACTTGCATAGGGTCGCAAGGCTGAGGTTCCCTGGCAGTGGGGAGCGGCCCCTAGCACCTGAACACGGCTTTCACATCTCAGAATCAGCCACAGCACATCCAGTTTAGGACAGGCCTCCATTTCTCAAGACTCATCTGCTTATCCTGGGTCCCCTGGGACAATGCAGGAGCACGTTCCCTTCCGAAGGTCTGTGCCATATCACATTTCCAAATATCTCTGGCGCCATCAGTGTCTATCCTTATAGCTCTGGGGATTCAGGTACGGATGTCTTTGAGGGCCCAGATTCTGCCGACCCAACCCTCATTCCCCAAAGGGACGGAAAAGATGACTGTTTTTATTTAGCTTCGGGTGTGACCGGAGCAGAAGGCTAGAGAATGCACTGTCCCGCCAGGTGGACCGCTAACTAGCGACACCATTTCGCACAGGTTATGGGACAGGCGGGACCCACTTCCTACTTTTAAAGCAGGCCATTGTAGTAGATGCCACCTCAGCTGGTTTATGTCTTCATTTGTGTTCCTTCATTTCTCACGTGTTGGTGGAGCCCCTGCATCGTGGCTGGCCATGTCCCGGGCACTGGGACCGCTATGGGAAAACCAGCAATCTCTGCCCTCCTGGGGTGAGCATCCTGCCAAACAGCAAAAGCTTAATTAACTTAGCAGTAAGATGTGCTGGATGTGAGGCCCTGGCCAATAAACCAGGTGGGGAAGATAGAAAGAGGGTGGCTATTGGGTACCAGATACAGCTACCTAAGAGGCATAAGTCCTGGTGTTGGTGTAGAGTGGCAATAGTAATTTGATTCTATATTTCCAAGTCGCTAGAAGAAAGGGTTTTTTCATATTCCCAAAGAAATGATGACTGTTGCAAGTGACGGACCTGCTAATGGCCCTGCTGGATCGTTTTGCCACTGTGCGCGAGTATCAAAAAGTCACATTTTGTACCACGTAAATATGTACGATCGTCATATTTCAATTAGAAGAAAATATGACAGCCGAGGCAAGGGTCCCTGCTTCTTTTACGTTACAACAGCCCACCTCTCTTCCTAGGCGAGCCAGAAGAGAAATGGCAGTCCTTGTGTGTCTGCATGGGTCATGGATAGCCTGGGACAACTCAGGTGTGGGGTGACCAGCTGTCCTCTTGATATTGTCCAAGTCTACAGAATATTATAATAAGATTCATAATAGGATCACGGAAGAAAATTCTTTTTCTAAGATTAAAAGACGGTTATAAGTGATGGTGCTGAACAGGAACGCTGAGTATCTCTGCACGTCGTTCCAACATTTCATCAAGCATTCCGGACTGCAGCATCAAGGTGTTACTAAAAACCAGTGCACCTGCTGTCTAACCCGGGCAGAGTTTTTCAGTCTCAACCCATTACCTCCTGCTGTATCAAAACATGATTCTCTGTGTTATCCAAAGTCGCCATGATTCGCACAAAAGGACTAAGGAAAATCTGCCCTGTTTTCTAAAAATGGGCACCCTTCCCGAGATACAAACACTCAAGCATCACCTGAGCAAAAGTTCACTGTTATTTGGAAATTAACCAGTAGAAGCATTTCCCAGAGATAATGAATTCTCCACCAAGCAATTCTCACATGCCTGTGGATAGAAAGGCATTAAAATAAAATGCAAGAAACAAAACGAAAGGTTAGATTGAAAAGTCGAGACCCAGAAACCAGAACTGGTGGCCAGGGTCTGGCAGGATGACCTTGAAGCCAGAATCAGACAGGCAGCCCGTACAGGTCCAGTGAGGTTGGATCAAGGAGGCCAGTCGTGAGTGAGTCTGGCAAGTCTAGACTGCGCCCTGAGGGCCTGAAATGCTAATTCCTTCATGGCCCTTCCTCCATCTTTATGGAGAACTGCCCTTGCGCCAACCTGTTGCCAAGGTAACCAGCCCCAGGACCAGCCCTCCCTACAGGGTTGTTGATTAATGTGTCCTGGGCTGCACCACCCTGCCCTTCCCCTTCAGCCCACCGGGTTCCCACCTTTGGGCCACCCCGTCATTCCTGGGCCTGGTCACTTATGCAGGAAGGAGAAAGATAGGAAGCCTAGGACATTTACAAAGGGCAGAACCCCTCGCCTCTTGGGACACCAGGCTACCAGCTATGGCCCCTTCTCCCTCCTGGGAGAAGTCTGCGTTGTCCCTTTTCAAATAGACCCTGCTTCCTATGCTTGCCTCTGCGTGCTTCTCCAGTGTTCAAACTTGTGGGGAAGCAGGACTCGTCACCAATGACCAGCGGTAGGTGTCAACCTTGGTGTGTGTGTCACACCCCATAAAATCTTTCCACCGTGACTTCCTCATTGTTGAGTCATAAAAGGGCCGTCCTACGGGGGCTGGGGCTGGGGCTGGGGCTTGGTGCTGGAGCGCCCGCTTGGCACGCGAGAGGCCCTGGGTTCGAACTCAGCACCACATGAGAATAAATGAATAAAATAAAGGTATTGTGTCCAGCGACAACTAAAAAATAAATATTGGGGAAAAAAATAAAAGGGCTGTCCTAAGGCCTGTGCGCGAGTCTCCTTCCCGGTCTTCACCATTCTGATTCATAGATGACTCCAGACGGATGGAATAAGAGCGTCCATGTGGACGCTCCTCCACAAACTACCCAGGATCGGCCACGTAGATTTCAGGGAGTATTACTGCTACTAAACTGCACCCGCAACTCGCTTCCCATAGTAAGTGGTGAAGCCTGAAAATGAGGAGTCAAGTAGAGGAGGCGTGGGCCTCACGGCCTGGGGAGGGAGGCTGGGGGAGCCATTCATCAGACACGTAATTTACTGCGCCCTGAGCATCTATCAGCCTGGTACCAGACCCCGGATCTGAAGAGCCCGGCGATGCTTATTATTCCTAGGAAGTATCTAAATCAGCATTTGGTTTTTTTTGCAAATGGGAAATGCGGCCGGGCTACCTTAATGAGGTCTTCCCTGGAGGGAAAGTGGGAGACCAGGTAATTCTGCCTGGTTCTGGTGTTGGTGATGGACACGTACAGTCGATCGTGGGCCAGCTCGTGGGCGTTGGGAGGAAGGATGGACTCCACGCCGCTCCTAGAGAAGGAAAAGCAAGCCGCACGCATTACTCACCGTTAATTATTGAGCAACTTTGTAAATATTTCACAAGAGCGAGGGCTGCGCTTGGCACACTTTGTTGGAGAGCGTTCAACAGTCTGTCTTCGAGTACTGGGGGGGGGGGGAAATGCGCTGTGTAAACATGTACCTCAGCAGGGCCATGAAGTCATACCCGGGGGTCAGCGCCCCGAAAGACTGCTTTCTCGTTTCTTCAGCAAACTGATAGGTGAACCGGTTACATTCCTGTAAAAGAAATGAACATCTGACCCTCTGCATTGTCCACATGAATTCATCCCTCTTCCAAAATTCCGCCCATTGCTCTGGATTCCACACGCCCACCCAGCCGGACACAGGATGCCACACTCTTTTGCACAAGTGTGCAAACCTCCCCCCTCCCTTCTCCTTATCCACTCTTCTTAGTCCCAGGGCAAATTACTTGTTCTTACAATTTGTCTCTCTCTCTTTTTTTTTTCTTTCTTTTTAAGCCACCTCAAATGGCCTTACTCGACAATTAAAAAGGCCTTGAAGACTGGACTGAAATTCTAATTTAGAACATTCTTCTACAGATCGCCACGCACAATTAACCCTCTCTCCCTCCCCAATTCCGGGGCCTCAGAAGCATTTCAATTGCAACCCCACAAGGGCACAGATGAATGACAACGGATGCAGAAGAAAGCACACTGGCTCTCTCTCTGGAGGTGTGTCTTGAGCAGTGGACAGCCTACAAGTCCCTGGGGCAGGGATCCTCAAGGCCGGCTGTCACGGCATGTTCATGGGACCCTGCAGGCTGGGAGTAATCACCTCACTTGGCAGGTAAGAAAACCGAGGCCTGCAGAGATTAGAGGACCTTTCCCAGCAGCACATCAGAAATGCACGAGGGAGCCAGGATTTGAATCCATGTCTGCCTTCTGAGCAAGTCAGGTTGTCTGAAGGAGCCACGTATTCATTATAAAGATCCTGCAGATGCTGCACCCTGCCTGAGCTGGGCATTGTGATTACAGAGCCCTTTAGTAGCCGTTTATGTTAACTTTGGTATCTGACCTCACATTCTCCTGACGAGGAGTAAACTCAGAATATATGGCTAAGCTTAGACCTCTGGCCTCCACCAGCCCCTAAGCTAAGAAGGCGATTTGTGTCTGAAACCTGTTCCCCTGCTGGGCTCTAGTCTGACTACCTAATGTCCCCCACCAACTACTTAGGAACATCTCATCTGTGTTCTGCCTCTGTGAAAGGTCCTGAAACCTCCTCCTTGTAAATCTTTGTACCTGGGTCAAGGCCACTCCTATGGGGCTCAGAATAAGCTATTTCCTTATTTCCTTAATGTGGCGTGGCTACTTGACTTGCACACTTTGATTCATTATCTGGTTAATTCAGTCAATACTGGGCTAGTCCCTGAGATTTGGGAGATCTTCGCTTTTGTCTTTTTTTGAGGGCCACCACGGGGAGGTGGCACAGTGCTGTCCCAAGCACTTGGAAGGTGCTGCACTTTGCAGGTTGGATGTCCCCATAAGGGTCCAGGTGTTAAAGACTTGGTCCCTGGGGTGGCCCTGTGGGGAGGTGCTGTGGACCTTGGGGGGGGGGCCTCGAGGGAGGTCCTGAGGTCACTGGGGGTGTGCCCTGAAAGGGATCACAGGGGCCTCAGTCCTTCCTCTTTCCTCTCTTTTGCTTCCTGGCCATAACGTGAGCGATGTGTTCCACCCAGTGCTCCCGCCATCTGACATCAGAGCACCAAAGCAATGGTTGGTTCCATCTGTTCTGGGACATGATGAGCCCAAACAAACATTTTTGTCTTTGTAAGTTGGCCTTTTCAGGCATTTTGTAGTAGCAACTTGAAGTAAGAGAAAAGGGGAGGCCGAAGGGTCCCAGATGAAAAGGATTGAAGAGGCCACGCTCATGGCTTAGAAGATGGGAGAAGGGGCCCGGGGTCAAGGAACCTGGGCAGCCATGAGAAACGTGAAAGGGCAAGGAGAGAGCCAGATGCAGAACTATAAGGTAATAATAACTCCTGCTGTCTGAAGGCATCCGGTTGGTGGCCCCTGGTTGCAGCATCAACAGGAAGCAAATACAGTGGGTACCAGCCCCCAGCCTCAGGGTGGGAGAGGCTTCCCTGCACTGTGACATCTGGGCTAGGACTTTCAATGTGAATGGGAGCTGGACAGGGGGCACAATAATAAGGAGTGGACTTCTTCACCTTTGAGTGCCCCACGGTGACCAATGCTATGCCTTCCTTGCCAGTCCTGAGGCTGGACCAGGAACTGAGGGGCGGTTTGCTGGGGAAGGCTTTGCAGCTCCAGGCTCTTTCTCACATATGCATGCCTCAATTTGCCCACCACCTCAAAGACGTGGAGCATCGGCTCCTCTTAATTAGACATGGAGGGCGCTCCTCTTAATTAGACCTGCATAAGCTCACAACAAGATTAACTGCATATTTGTCACAAGAGTGAAAAGCTCCAGGAATTTACAGCACCAAGCAGAACTGAGCTAACCTGTAATTTGAGTAGATTGAAGAGTTTTCCAAAACAAAACAAAACAAAACAAAAAAACCTCAAAGCAATTTTATCGACCAGTTATTTCCAATTGCTAAAGAGAAAAGAAATAGCCTTTCCATCAAAAGGTTATTGTGGCACAGCCCTGGGGTTGTGGGTCAGTGGTAGAGCATTTGCCTAGTGTGTATGAGGACCTGGGTTCAATTCCCGGTTGTGCAAAAAAAAAACAAACAAACTATTTTGGCAGAAACATTAGTTTTCAAAAGGACCAAGGAGGAAATGAGAATGTCCTAAGGTCGATAAAGAGAATAATTTTCACCTTCCAATGTGAACACCCAAAACACCTAGCCTTAAGTCACAGCAACATGATTAGCCAACGTAACCCATTTTCCAACTTGGAAAAAAAAGAATAAATACATAAAAACACGTAATCTGATTTGAAAACAATCCAAGCAAATCAGGCATCGTCTTAACATCACAGAATTCCAGCTGCATAAATGCCTATCTTATTGTAGCGTTTCCAAATCATGTAAAGAGTTCATCACAGTTAATACATTCCTAAATTTGCTGAGGACTAGAAATCAAATCCACTCAACTCCAGAGCTCAGAGATTTGTTCCACTTAAAGAAAAGACTGAATGAAAGAGGAAGGGAAAGTCCCCTCCCCCGCCTCTCCAGGCCACAGCTTGCTGCAGCGAAAAAGAAAGCAGGTTCTGGGAGGAGCCAGAGCGTGCAATTCAAAGCACAGGATTTTGCAAGCTTGGGGGTGGGGGATTCAGACCTCAGGGTTTTCGTCCTGTGTAATCACTATGGCTTTTAGTCACTTTTCTAGTTTTCTGAACGCCAAACCATCTAAAGATGAGGTGGCTGGATTTCTGAAAAACTTCCCTGAAATCTGAGACTGAGATTTTGATGTTTAAAATCCCCGCAGCCTTGAGACTCATTCTCGGGCACGAATGGGTTAAATCCTTGTCTTCTGATGGTTCAAAGCCATTCGCCTGTGTAAGTAATTAGCAAATATTTTCTCCACCCATAGAAACCAGCTCGCGGTCGGTGAATGTTTGATCACAGTCCAGATAGCAGAAAACCGATTTTAAAAACATAGATTGCATTAAAGAAAATACCTAATGACGGCTGTTTTTTATTACTTCTGGTTAAACTGCTTGGAATTCAGAGCTTCTACTTACTGTGAGAATTAAAAACAAATTAAATTCCCATATCATTCCACTTAATTGAAATTGTATGCCCAGTTTCATTTATGCGCCTGTTAGAAAATAGCAGTGAGCAGAGGTACAGGCCACATGTTCAAGGCTTTGAAAATAGGCTCTGTGCTCTCGTCATGCTCATAGAAAGAAGAAAAAATCCTTTGCTGCAAGACACAGTGCTGGAATCTTAAGGCTAAATAAAAACTCGAGAGCATTTTTAAATCCTTGTCTTACTGTCACCCCAAATAATCTTCTTTTCCAAACCCAGGGCACAGATCCCCGAAGAGTCGATCTTAAAAGAAAAGTCTAAACCTTTTGTTTCCCAGGCAAAGCATGATTTCTCTGTAAAGAGTCGCACTCATTGTCGCCATTCCCTTTTAATTTCTTAATGAGGAACACAGCCTCGTTACTGCTTAATTACCTCTATTTTTTCTGGCGCTGTTAGCAAGACAGAAGCAACCAAGGATCCTGCAGAAGCCCCGGCAAAGGCCTTGACATCCTTCAGCAGCCTCTTGCCATGTCTGCAAAATGCAGATGCTGCCCCCAAGTGGTAAATGCCCAGAAACCCACAGGCTGCAAACGACAAGTTGATGGGCTTCATTCTACCTGCAGAATCGTCAAAGGAAAAAAAAAAAAAAAGAATAAATAAAAAATAATAAAAAAGTTACACATTAGTATAGTTTATTCCACACACTCTGTAATTTTGCACCTGTTTTCGTGCATGGTTTTCTTTTAACGTATGATTCTCTAAGTGCAGTTGTTTCAATGAATTCTAATCAATCCCAGCAGTTTTTCAGGGAACCATTTTCTTTTCTTTTTTATTTTTTTTTAACATGATTCAATACTCTGGTTAATTATTAAAACAACAACAAAACGCCCAACTTTCCATACTTGTTCTTTTTAATTACTTGCAAGAAACAGATGTATAAATTCCAACTGGCAAGTCCTCTGAGCTTTTTTTTTTTTTTGAACTTTTGAGACTTTCTGCTGGGGGGAGGGTTGCTCTTGCAAAATGGGGAAATTATTAGAGACTGCATCAAATTCCAAGCGAGCAACAGATTTATTTGCTCTTTGGAAGTGCATCAGTAAATTTCAAAGATAGGTCCTGGTCCACCTCCATTTCCATCATCATAGGTATCCTTATCTTTTAAAAATTCTGATACCCCTGATTAGTTAATAATGCAATAAGCTATTATCCAACGATGCAACACCGTTCATGCCCAAGTAGCTCCAGACAAATTGAGGTCATGGCTGACAAAAGGTCCAGAAGGCTTCATACAATGAATTTCCACCACCATATACTTGCAACACACCTAAATATAAATATTCTGTGTGTGCTGCTGCAAAGCCCCAGTGGACACAATATGCCCATGTGAATGAAACCCTGTCCCCACACGCCTGTCCACCCTGGCTTCCTAGGGGGCGGGGGGCAAATCCTGATTCTGGGGCACTGGGGCGAGGCACACAGGCTGGACCAGGAATCGAGGGACGGTTTGCTGCTGATACCCCAAGCTGGGCCCCGTGCAGGGGGGGAGGCTCAGCCTGTGCAGGCTGCACAGAGAATCCGGGCCAGCGCTGCAGGGCCCAGCCCAGGTTTTGAGTCTACTTGTGCAGGCGTGGGGGTGGAGGAGGGATTTGGGTGGTCTTTTTCTAGGTGGTCAGGCCCATCAGGCGCAGGCCGGGAGATCTCCAGCTGCCCCGGGGTAGGTGGGGCTACTGCCTCATTTCTCCACCCCCGGGGCAGCCCACCCTGACCCTCCGGAGCCTCGCTCGGCCCCGGCGCTCGGTCCTACCAATGCAAGCCTGAGGCACTTCCGTGTTGACGGCCCCGGCCGCTAATCCTTAACCAGCAGGGGGAAGCGGGATGTCACTCAATGCGGCTCCACCTATCAGAGCCGAGTTCCGCTCGCCGCGCGCCCGCCCATGAAGGTCTGGCGTTAGAGTGGGCGGTACCTCCCCACCTCCCGCTCACGTCTGTGACGTCATCACGCCGACGCGGAGGCCCGCCGGCTCTATTTAAATCGCGGCGCTCAACATGGCGGCGCCCACGTTACCGCTCGGCCGGGTGTCCTCTGGTGCGGGCAAGGACAAAACTTTTTCCTGTCGAGTTATGCTACCTTAACCACCTAGAGATGCGTCTTAACCCTTATGAGCCCTTCAGCGCGACCTGCGGGCTGGCCGCCACCTGCGAACCTGCTGACCTTTAATGACCCTCATCGGCCGTGCTCCGGAAGCGCTTGCTCCTCTCCGTCTGTGTCCCGGAAACGGTTCGTTTCTCTTCCCCGCCCTCGCGCCCTCCAGAAAGCCCCCGCTGTTCCAGGAGACTAATGCGGGGGGGGCTGGGTTGGGGCGGTTCACACCGCGGCTTTTCAAGGCCCACCTTTGTTTTTTGTTTTTCCTAAGCCCTTCCTGGAAAGGCTGGACGACGACTTGGGGGCAGCTTTTCACATCCCCATGTGGCTTTATGCTGTGTGACCTTGGACAGGATGGGCGATGTCTCTGAGCCTCCTGGGTGTCTCATCTGCAGAAGGCGGAGGCTCAAATAGGAGTTGAAAGCTCAGTTTTAAAGCTCCTGCTGCCGGGAGGTCCTTCAGTAAATAGGTCCAGTGTCACTCTGGGCTGTGGGTCAGACTCAAGAAGCGGCCCGACCCAGATTGGGAGGGCTCTGGCCATTCCTTTTTCAAACAGTGCCCTCCTCCTAGTAATCCAGGCTGCAGGAGTCTCAGGAATGGCAGTCCAAGGTTCTGTGGTCCCCCTGGTGTGACGACAGAGGTTTTCTCTGACCACAGCCAGAGAAGCGAATCTGACAGCTGCAAGGGGGCCTCTTCCTTCAGCAAACTAGGGAGGGGGCTGAAAAGCTTATCAAATTGCCTGTGCTTTGGTGTTTTCTTTTCCCTTTCTCCCCCTTGTGGGGAGCCACCTTGGGTCCAGGACATTTGTGATATGATGACCGATATGATGGTTAAGGAATTCGAGATTTGGGGTTTAATTCCTGTAAGTCTGAAAACACCGCCACGCTCAAAACCCAGTTACTGCTGGGCGGGGTGGCACAGGTCTGTAATGCCAGACGCTTGGGAGGCTGAGGCTGGACGATCTCCAGTTCAAAGCCAGCCTCAGCCAAAAGCAGGCCCTGAGCAACTCAGGGAGACCCTGTCTCTAAATAAAATGCAAAATAGGGCTGGGGAGGGGGCTCAGGGGTTGAGTGCCCCTGAGTTCAATCCCGGGTACCAACAGAAAAAAAAAAAAACAGTTAACAGTGTCCCTGGGTATTTATGTAGGTTAGCGTTGCTAGGGCCAGAGTGTTTGCATGCCTCCCCAGACGAATGTGTTTAAATCTCCACACACACACAGTGTGATGGTGTTAGGAGGTGGGCCTTGGGGAGGTGGTGAGGTCCAAGGGTGGGGTCCTCATGGACAGGATTAGTGAGTGCTCTCACAAGAGGGACACCCCAAAGCCCCGTTTCTACCACTGAAAGGTGCACTTGCAACAGAAACGTGGGAGTCCACAACCTGAAAAAGGCCTGGTTCAGGACTAGCCTTCTGAACTGCGGGAATTCACGTCTGTCGTCGTTAAACCACAGAGTCTATGGTCCTCTCTCACAGCCACCTGAGTGGACTAAGACAGTGGTCTAGTTTAAGCTGGTCTGGTGGCACGGAAAGACTGAGGATAGCCTAATTCTTTTTCTTCCTTTCTTTCTTTTGCAGAATCAGACCCTGGGATGCTGTTGGCAGAAGGCCTGTCCCTGATTGGTTCAGCAGATCGTCTAGAATGCAGGTGAACACCTCTGCACTGCACGGCTTGGATGGACACCCCAAGCTGGGCATCCTTCACCTCCAGGAGGGATAAGGGTACCGGTTCCTGCCAGAGTGTGACCCCCACCGACTGTAAGTCTCACTGGAGCCACCTATGTGCCCTGTGACTCTTAAAACGTTAAACATGTTTGTTTCGCTCTCTGTTCTATCCTCAATCATGTTTCCACGTAGTTAGTTAAAAAGTTCAGCTCCCTCACGTAAGGAAGAATATCAATCCCATTCGTCTTTGTCGTCTCTGTACCGCGCATGGCGCTTGGCGCCCAGCCTGGAATCAACGTGGGTTTCTTTTGAAGGTTGAATTTTTGTAAATTAGCACTGTGGTCTGAGAATATACTAATCGCCCTTTAAAACCATTTCTTAAGTTAATTTATTTGCTTATTCTTGCTTCTCTGTTTTCCTTAGTGATTTTGTTTTGATCTGGTGCATTTAGTCATTTATCCGAGAATTATTAAGCGTCTGTGGTGTAGCAGGTCTGTGCTAGCACGGGGCACCCAGAGCTGACAGGAGTTCAGCCTTTATCATCAAGGAGGCAGAGTGCAGCTGGGCGCCGGCTCGTGTAATTAGAGCAGCACGGTCTGGTGCTGTTGCAGAGCCTCACATAGGTGCCCTGCGTGCGGTGGCACCCTGAGCTAGACGGTGGGAAACTCTGAGCTCTGGGAGGCATCTGTCACTGCTCCCAGCCCATAAATGAAGTGCTCGAGACTCATGGCTCCCTGGGATCCCTCTCCCGGAACCTCATCCTGTACGGCACAGTTTCACTTTCCACACTTCTTGGTGCTCACTCAGAAACAGTCTGAAAGTATTAAATGGAAAGTTCCAAGGTTCAATTCTTTGTAAGATTTAAATTGCTTGTTGCGCCGAGTAGCGTGATGATGATCTCATGTGTCTGCTCCGTGCTGCTCAGTAGGTGAGTGACCCCTCTGTGCAGTGGATCCACACAGGATACATCACCTACCCTTCAGTTACTTAGTTGGTTATCTGTTCAGTTGTGGTCGTCTTGTGTGGCACTGTTTGTATTCAAGTGACACCTATTTTGCTTGATAATGGCCCTGGGAACGCCAGATCAGTGATGCAAAGGAGAGGCTGGGGGACAAAACGGGGAGTGACCGGTCAACCCTGACCCTGCCTGGCCATGCTGCAGGACATATAGGAAGAGGCACAGCATGTATCGGGGTCAGTCCTGTCTGTGATTTCAGGTATGCACTGAGGGTCTTGGAACATACGTGCTTCTGAACCTGTCAACACACGTGCACCACCTGCATCTGAAGACCAGACACGACAAAGATGTCCCCCTACCTCGGGCTTTTCTGCTGTTGTGTTAAATTTCCTCTTTATTTAACCAAAACAGTTGAAATCAGCTGGCGCAGTGGCACCCACCTGTCATCCCAGCAGCTTGGGAGGCTGAGGCACGAGGATCACGTGATCAAAGCCAGCCTCAGCCAAAGCGAGGCCCTAAGCATCTCAGTCTGTGTCTCTAAATAAAATACAAAATCAGGCTGGGGATGAGGCTCAGTGGTCCAGTGTTCCCGGGTTCAATCCCCGGTACCCACCCAACCCCCCAAAAGGAATTGAAATCAGCATAGTTAGTGAATATTCGTAACAGCACAATTCACAGCAGCTAAGTTGAGAGACCAGCCTAGGTGTCCATCAGCAGACGATGGATAAAGGAAACGTGGTGCACATACACAAGGGAGCTTTACTCAGCCCTGAAGAAGAACGAAATCACGACATTTGCTGGTGAATGAAAGGAACCAGACAGCATCGTGCCAAGTGAAATAACCCGACTCAGAGAGTCACGAGGCTGATGTTTTCGCTCTTATACAGAAGATTGAGAGGAAAAGGGAGTTAAAGACAAGGAGTCCCCAAGAAAATAGCTGGGACAGTAGTAGGGTGGAGGTGGTCCGAAGGGGGAGAGAGGAGGGGTGGGACAGGGAGGAACCTGGGGACAAACAGACACAATTATGCCATGTGCGTGTGTGGGTATCACATCCACTTCCACGTACGTCATGTACCAATCAACAAGTAAATCTGTGTGTGGATCTGTAGAAGGGAGACCCTAAGATTAGAGGAGAGAGAAGGGGGGAGGCTGTAAACCCCAGAGGCACAGCCCACCTGCCTACAGTCACCCCCTGGTTAATCCCTAGGAGGGATTACTGCCCTGATTCCTTTAAAGTTGTCAAGACCCAATTGTTTCATCTCTAAACTGTCTTGCATTGTGTTATATGAGCTTTGGGGGCACACGTACTTCAAACAATATGCTGTGTAGACAGAGGGTTCACGTCCCTGGTGGCCAAGTGGTGGGGGTGAAGTTCAAAAGGCGTAACAGAGCCCTAAAATGCTTTTTAAAATCCCCGTGAGAGAGAATCTGTGTCCATCGCTGTGTACGGTGTTGCGGAAGAGCTGCTCTCTCGACATGGTGGCTCTCGCCCACCCTTTGCCCACACAGGTAGTCCCTGATGGCCTTCAAGTAGTTTTTTCACTGTGGAGAAGATCATGGGAACAATAATACCAGTGCCAAGTAACATCGCGAGATGATAAGAGGAAGGGCTGCTTTAGTGCCTTCTGCTTTTATTAAACTTGCTAAAATACGTTAATTTGGTTATAGGATCTAATCCTGAGCTGAGCTCATAATCCAAAGACACATCCTGGGCTGGGGTTGTGGCTCCGGGGTAGAGCGCTTGCCTAGCACGTGTGAGTCTCTGGGTTTGAGTCTCAGCACTGCATATAAACAAATAAACAAAATAAAGGTGCATAAAAAACGCAAAAAAAAAAAAAAAAATCCTTCAGTGAGTCAACTACCTCACTTCAAAGAGAGAAAGTAAGGATTTGGGTGGACAGAGGTTCCTTGATATCCCTGGGAGATTGGTTTCAGGACGTCCTCAGTTGCCAAAGACCAGCACCTGGCTGAGTGATCGAGGTTGACCTTGGTCATCTGCAGGTTCCATGTCCAAAGACTCAGCCAACCACAGACAGAAAATGTCCTTTAAAAAACCGAGTTGCATTTAACACACACACGCTTTTCTCTCTCATCACAGCTTCCTGAACAACGCAGTAGAACAGCTGTTTGCCTCGTATTTACGTTGTGTTAATAACATCAGTCCAGTGCTGGTTTGAAGTTTGTAGGAGGTTTTGCACGTGGAATCGTTTGTCGTTTTACATAAGGGACTTGCGCTTCCACTCATTTTGGTATCCTCGGGTGTCCTAGAGGTCCATGTCCTTTGTCCTGGGTGCTAAGCGACTGTATTTTGTTTTTTGCAAAATTCCTGGCTTTCCCAAATATCCATCCCTCTTGATTGGAATCACACCATTAATACTTGCTGTATTTACTGCCTGTGTTCCGCACGCCAGCCCTTTACGCGTTTTCTCAGGTAACTTTTAACAGTGCTGAGAGGTCTGCAGACGCACGGGCGGGCCTGCTAGGCTCAGCTGTCCCGGGCCCAGAGCCTGCACCCAGCCTGCTTTCCTGGTGGTCTCCCAGAGTGAAGCAGGGCGCTCTTTCTGTGTGCAGCACTGTGTGGTTGGCTACCACGCATCTCACACCGCCTCAGTTCTTTCTCTGCCTTTATGATTGGTGTTCATATGCATATTTATAATTTTACTGAAAAGTGGTAAGCGTTCTTCATAAACGTGATGTGTGAATTTGTAGGTTTTAGAGAATTTGTCTAGGTCTTGGAGAAAACAATAAAAGCAGGCCTGCCAGTTAATGGAAGCCAGCCTTGCCCGCTGATGGACGATGACACCACTCTTTCTGATGACCCCTTCCTGGAAGCTGTGTCATAAAGCAGGTTATTGTGAAGTGGACGTAATTTCCACTAGGCACAGTGCTATAAAAGGCGATCTCGTTATTGACCAAGGTCCCAAGTGGAAATAAATCATGTCTTCATGCCTTTCTGCTCACTCGTTAAATAATCTTCGCGGAGCGTCCAGTACAGGAGAAGGACCAGGCCGGCCCTAGAGGTACCTGGAGGCGGGGAACCTGCGAGCCCCGGTCTGTGTCTCGTTCTTCACCTACTAGGCGGTCGGTCACGTTTTTCTCTCCTTTAAGCCCTGCTTCTTCCTCAGGGCCTAGGTCAGACGGTGCCTGGGGAAGGCCTTCAGCTACCTTGTCTGTGTCTGTCACACCGTGGCCTTTGGTGCTGTGCCGGTCATTTTGGGGGTGCTGGCCAGGTCTTGGTTCAGGGTCCATCTGCAGCAGGGACGGTGTCCCGTACTTCTTGTGTGTGTGTCACCATCTTAAGTCAGCAGGAGCACACGAGTAATGTGTCCTACAGGCAGGAATCTGCCGACTGCAGGATTCAGAGCCTGACTTGCAGGAGAGGGAACAGTATGCGGGTTCCACTGAGTGAGACTTTAGAAGCTGGGCTCACTACAGACAGGCGGCTCGGGCCCCAGCGAGTGCTCTGAGTTTCGGTCACGTCTGTTTTTCTCCTTGCTTGTATTCTGTAGGCAGGACATCCCCAAGAGGCGGCCAGTGACCCTGCATCTTCTTAGCTGATCAGTGGAAAAGTGCTTTTGTCCCCGTTTACCTCCCGAGCTTAGAAAAAGACTCTTGTTAGCTTTGGGCTGCTGTAAACCAAACTGTAAATCAAACTCTCTTAAACGGTGGTCCGTTTAAGAGAGCTGTGTCCTGGCTCACAGCCTTGGGGCTCTCAGCTGCTGCTTGGTGGGACCCCCTGCTTTTGGGCCCTTGGCGGGGGGCACTACATCATGGCGGGGCGGGCCTGGTAGAGCAAGCCGCTCACTCAGGTGGTGGGACGCAGGGGGGAACGAGCTGGGCCTGCAGTTCCAACGTCTCCTCGGGGCCACCCCACAGGGCTGGGCGACTCCACCCAGGCCTGCCTCTCCAAGGCTCCCCCCCTTGGTACACCCAGGGCTGTGTACCTGGTCTGAGAGCACCTGGGCCTTTGGGGCCACTCAGGTAAAGCACAGTACTCTGCTGGTGTTATCACACGCCTGTCCTTAGGACCATCGGTGTGACAGCACATCGTGACGCAGTGGTGATTGGAGCCCGTGGTGGGTGCACGTGGCCGAGCAGAAGGGGGTGGATTTGAACAGTGGCATTGCCAGGTCCAGCACAGGATGGGCGAGGCTGCCCAGGGAGAGGTCCAGCCTCCCGAATCCACACCTGCACCACGGACTTGACCCACTGAGTTCAGTGAAAGCAGACTCACAGCTGTCCTCCCCGAAAACCAGGCCGATGTGCCCTGGCCCTCTTGATAGCAAGGCTGCATTGCACCCGCCCCGCAGGGCGCTCTAATCCAGACACACAGGAACACGGCGGGGACGTGTGGTGCGTGGGAGGTGAGTGCACATGAGTCATGTTCAGACGCACAGCCCGTGGTCCCTGGCACACGTGCTGCCCAGGACGGAATTGTCATTTGCGTTTTTTGGCTTGTGGGGTTTTTGTGGGCCGTGTTGGACGCGAGAAGGGGTGCCAGACGCATTCACCCAGTCTGTGAGCGGAAGGCGATGCTCGATGTCGTTCCTCTGTGTACATCTCCCTGCAGGAAACCGTGGACCTTAGACTCTTCCTGAGGATCCCGTCTCACAAATAGGGCCAAAGAAGTCGATATTAAGTAAACGTGTTGGACAGCAGGGCCAGGAATGATGATTCTCCTCTACCAAAAAGTGTGTCTTGGAGGAGGAGGGAATCCCAAAGTTCTCTCCATCATCTCTTTCCTGAAAGCATTCCATCTGCAGGGATTTTGAAAAAGAACATAGTATTTAATGGACGTGCACTCAGGTATCTCAGGATTTTTGTTTTAAACTAGAAGTAAATGTATTGTTTGCAGAAACTTCCAGAAGCACTCCGTACATCTTCACCTTAATTTCCAGCCTCAACGTGCCTACACTATGTGGACGCATTGCCTGTTGGGAAACTACAGAAAAAAAATATCTAAAAAGGGCCAGACCTCTGAAATGGAAGTCCCAGTGGATTCCAGCGGGTCCCAGGCTGACGTGTAAAAGATGGCGGTACCTCGCAGACCTCTCATCATGCCTTGAATTCTCAGAAAGCTCCTGGTCAGCTAGGGGGCTCTTAGAGTAGGATTGTACTAGGTGACAGTAGTTTTTGAATTGTATGGATTTAAAATACAGTTTGAATAATGATACAACATAAAATGACGAAAACCCAGAATGTGCTGTCTGGGAATGGAAGAGGGCAAGGTCAAAGCCACTGAGGCTGCATTTATTACGCGAGGCACCTGTCTCCAGTATTCCTGCCTCATATTAAGCTCTGCATTTCCAGATTCCCAGATGGGAGGCAGGCAGAGCCATCGAGGTGATTAGTTCAAGCACCAACCTTTTATCCCACTGTTTCTTTCTCTGTCCTCACCTTGAGGATGCGTGATCACGTTCTCAGCACGCTTTGGAAGTGTGCCCTATTAAGAGAAAACTCACTTCCTACTTAGCAACTCTAAAACCCAAGGGTACTTAAGTTCACCATTCTTCAAAAAAAGCTCTTTTCTTGAAGTTTAGTATTCACATCTATATACTCCAGAAATTAGAAAATTTGCTTGTCACCACAGTGACCACATTTTTCATAGTTTTATCCTAGAAAAAAGTCGGATTCTGTAAGGGATGAAGATGCTCACAAGGTAACTGTAGAAAGGGAACCACGCTTCGTCCCACCGTCCTGCGAACACAAGCAAACGTTCTTGTTGCTAGTGTTAGAAAAGAAGCTAAGACAGCATGTTTCTTCACTGTTGAGAGAACAGTACCTTCTGACATGGTGGATGAGCACCTGCGTTCAGTGGCCCGGTTTTACCCAACAGCCACCCGAGGTGGGTTTTCATGGCTGTTGACTTGATCGCTGTCGTCCTGGGCCGTCTCCTTAGATCGCACGCTTCCCCTCGCCTTTGGCCCCTGTCTCCTGTTTTTCATTCTGTACTAGAATGGCCAGTTGTCGTGCTGTCTTATGCGCAGTGTCCAGCCTCTCTGTAATGTACTTTTATTCGCTTCATATTTTATGTTGTTGAAAGAAATAGATGGTCGCCTTTATGTGTGTGTGGATTTAGCACCGCGTGACGGTTCCTGGGTGCCGCTTCTCACCACCTGTTTTTGTCAAGCTTTTTCACTGCTGTGTCTAAAAGATCTGACCAGAACAATCTGAGGAGGAAAAGTTTATTTGGGGGGCGGGGGGGGCTCAGGGTTTCAGAGGTCTCAATCCACAGGCTCCGTTCCTGGGGACTCCAGGTGAGGCCATCATGGCGGAGGACTGTGACCGAGGGAAGCAGCTCACACGATGGTCAGGAAGCAGAGAGAGAGGTCTCCGCTTGCCAGGTACAAATACAGACCCCAAAGCCGCGTCCCCAGGGCCCACCTCCTGCAGCGACACCCCACCCCTTCAGTTCCACTCGTTATTCCCACCGGGGATGACGTCGCTGAAGGGCAGGTTTCCCACAACCCCGTCATCTCTCCCGAGAACCTCTTGATCCAACCCCCTGCACCTGCCGAGTGAGGAAAGATGGGGAGGAGGAGGAACTCTCGAGTGTTTCCGCTGTGTCCCTCCCTTCGCCTCAAGTGTCTGAGCGGGAAAGCGAGACGAGGCTTCCTTGCTCCTGTTGTCTCCTGGGAGTACGGGTGACGTCCCTTACCACAGGTGTTTCAGGGACGCCTGAACCAGAGTGTTTCAGATCTCAGAGTTTTTGGAAGTTTGGGGGAGGTTTGCACATTCACAGTGAGATATATAACAAGGAGACACAGTGTGTGCCCTTACCTGATGCATCCTGTTGAGCTGCCCTCTGAACCGGGGCACTAGCAGGCAGCAAACACAAGCTGCTCCCGCTGCGTGCTCTGTGGAGAAACTGTTGTCATTGTCATCGTGGTCCGTGCCTTCCCTCACGTTATCCAGTGATTGTTCTCAAAGAATCGAGAAAAATTTGCTCCTTGATTTTTTTTTTTTTTTTTTCTCCCCCCAAGCAACTCAATGATGATGATACGAGCAGTTAAGGGCTGCAGAGTCTCAGGAATGTTTGCCCTTAGTTAATGAGTGGCTTTGCCAAGAGTGGTAGTGTGTCCTCCAAGATGACGTGCGTGATCCCACCAAAATCGACCCCAGATGCTTCTGACCTGTGTCTGGCCTCAAGATGTTCCTCGCCTGGTGTCCGGGGGAGCTGTCTCCAGTCTGCCCCCTGCCGGCCCATGAGCCAGCCGTGGCAAGTCACTGACCGGGAGCTGATCCCCAGGCTTGGAAGAGGGTCTCGGGGTCAGGTGGGCCTAGACCTTCCAGAAAGCTGCGGCCCCAGCATATTACCACCCACCAGATCGTCTCCACAGAAGGGTGACAGAGCAGTTTTGTGCCCACTCCGTCTGAGGGCTGCTTTGCCTTAGGTGGGTCACCATCAGAGTCTCAGGTTGAGATGAGTAGGTGGGCAGCAGACAAACCAAGCTGCACCAGGGCTGGCCGTCTTCTCCCTCTTGCCGCTCAGTCCTTCCGTTATCTTGACTCTTGAAATCAGATAACCTACTGATTTCAAAGAGAGATGCGTTTGGTTCTGCTGTGATGAAAATCCGGTGCTCATGGAGGATAGCTACTTGTTTAGTGTTTTTACTTTTCATTTCTGTTTACCATGTTCACTGGATGACCAGATATCAGTTATTCTCATCAGCGCATTTTGGAAACTTTTATTCAAGTGAAGAAAATCAGGTTAGAAAAGAGAATAAAAGTCATGAATGCTCATTAACTGGCATCAGTGTTGTACAGTGATCAGCCTGAGTGCCTGTCAGTGGGCTCCCAAGTCAGAGCTCCTGCAGCGGGAATCTGCAGGGCAAGAGCGTGGGTGCCTCTGTGTGCAATATGTCAGAAGACACTGCACTGTCCTGAATATCCAAAAAGAACAAACAAAAAAATAAAATATAAATGAATCCTTAGGAAAAAGAATTCATGAAAGGAACATAGGTGCGTTTTTACACATGTACATACACACACACACACTCAAGGGGGGGCATTTACTTTGTGAAAACAAGTGTAAGTTCTTTCTGTTCCTGTTGGAGTTTAAGTTTAGTTTTAAGAAGTGAAATATTTTCCTCAATTTTCAAAGACGTGGGTTCATCAGAGAAACCTTAAAGGTCACAAAACGTTTGACTACCCCCGAAAACGACACAGATGACGTATCTCCACGCACACGGGGAAGCATATTTTGTGATTTTCAAATTGTGGAAATCTCTTCCCCAGACTTTGCCCCGAAGCCTTCCATCCGATGTTGCCAATATAAGATATGATCTAACCAGAGAAACACCAGTAACTGAAGTGATTAGATGGTCAGCGATCTCATGCCATTAATTACATGCAGTGTCTTTTGCTTCTAGGCATCTTATCATAACCCAGATTTATGGGTATCATTTTAGGAGATAATTGTGAACGAAAAGGAGCCAGCGATTATATGAGAGATTCTTGTTTGAGTGTTTACGATGTTTTTCACCTCCCAAATGATTTCTTACCTCCTGCTAACAACCGGCACTGTTGGAATTGGTGTCTCAATAAATTATAACATTCCAGGAGCCTTTGTGCTGGCGATATTAATTGTCGGAATGACATGGCTGCTATAAAGCGGTGTATTTTCAAACACCTTGTCAGAACTTTCAGGCAGGTGGTTTTTGGGCCAAGAGCTTCAGTATCGGCTCCCTGATCCGAGGAGGCGGGTGTTGGAAGGTATTTTTCAGAGAACTGGTTGACAGCGCTCTGCACGCTGCTTTTTCTTACCTCTGGGTATCCACAGAGCTGAGTGTGTCCTAGAGAAGCACGTGGTCACAGTGATGAATGACCCTGGGGGCCGTAGTCCAGGGAGGGGGATAGATGATGACCAGCCCCTCAGTCGGGGTGTGTGAGTCCCCTGTGGAAGGTGGACCAGGGCCAGGAGAGACCCCACCCAGCCAGTCCCTGGGGTCAGGTCCCAGGTAGAAACCACGTGACTGGTGCGCTGAATCGTGGCCCGCGGAATTCCAGTGTGGACGGCGGGGAAGAGCTGCCCAGGCACATTAATTGGGACCGTATCACAGTCCCAGGAGAAGGGGAGTCTCCTTGGGAATGTCTCGTGGGTTTAAAGGTATTTTGTGGAATATCTTACAGAGAGGCGAGTGCGACCACCTCACGTCCTTGGGATCTTTGTGTCTGGATGAGGGTGAACGTGGTAGGTCAATGAGCTTTTCACATCCCAAGGATTTTGCCTAGAGGCTGGCATGCAGTAGGTGCTCAATGAGTACTTATGGGTCACTGTCTAAGTTCTGACGGAAGGACGGATGCGCCACTGGGAGATTCTAGTTCTGCTCTGCGTCCAGGTGGTCTGAGTGCCGGACCAGCTTATCCGTGCCACCTGCTGATTGAGGACATGGCACCCAGAACCCTTCAGCTGCAAGAGGCCATGTGAGACAGGACAGGTTGGGATAGGATTACTGACAGCCCGAGTGTGGATTGAACCTTCAAGGGCAGTGCTTTGCCGAAAGCCGAACGAACACGCGTAGATTTCAGAATTCAGGTACAGTGATTTAAATCGGCTCACTGTCCGTGTGTATATACGTGTGTGTGTAAGTTTAGTTCAGTTTAAAATACCCCATTAGCATTCGTTTTGATACTTTTACACGTGTACACACACTCGGACCACAAGTTTCATTGGCCTGGCTTGAGATGGATGAGCATTTGTTCTCCATAGTTCGTGCAGACTGCGGGTTTAATTCAGGCCCTCCTGCCTATGGCTGTGTGCCTTGTGAGACTTCCAACCCTCTCTGTGCCTCAGTTTCGTAATCTATACGTTGTGGGCAATGATTCCAGCCAAATTACAGAAAGTCCATAAGGCTAAACAAGTTAACAGGTATGAGAAGCTTGAGATACTATTTGTCTCTTATTTAAATGTATTTTTTGCTGGGGATCTAGCTCAGTTGGTAGAGTGCTTGCTTTGCATGCACAAGGCCCTGGGTTCAATCCCCAGCACCACAAAAAAAAACAACCCAAAAAAATTTAGTTGTTGATGGACCTTTATTTTATTCATTTATTTGTATGCGGTGCTGAGAATCGAACCCAGTGCCTCACACACGCCAGGCAAGTGCTCCAGCACTGAGCCCAGCCCCAGGTCTGTTTTAATTATTATTATTATCAAAACGGTGACAAGATGACTGTTACGACCCGAGTAGTGGATCAGACTTATATTTCATGTTGACTACTTAGCATGAAGCTCTTTGATTATTTTCAGAATATTAAACATTGACGAATAGGAGTTACTACAACGAGGACAAAGTGAAATGGCTAAGGTGGAAAGGCAGTAACTGAGACCCCTTTTTCTTTCTGTACATAAAAGAGAGGCCCCGAAGAACTCGAGTTCCTTGGGACTGAATACGTTTTAGAATTCTAATGCATTTTTTCGTGAAATTTTCAGATCTGGCAATACTAAAATATTTGTATCTCTGAGCTGATGTGGCATCACAGAGTCAGTTTGCACACCCAAGCTGACGTGAGTGGAGCATGGTCTGTAATCACTGTCTGTTCCAAAGCTTATGTTATCGGCCCTCTGACGGAAAGACAGACAAGCCAGCAGGTCTCATAGCTCAACAGGAGTTTCCAAGTTAGTGAACTCGTGGGAAATGGTGAGGTGATGCAGTCTGCGATGGATCGGCCACGGGAGATTCTAGTTCTGCTCGACATCCAGGTGTCTGAGTGCGAGACCCGCTTCCTCAGGGTGTACTTTTCCTGGTGTTTCCCTGGTAGGTAGGGCCCGACCCCCTGCCCTTGCCAGGGTTGCCTGGAGTGGGCCGGTGTTGCATGCGGTTGCTTTGCACCTGGAGGCTTTGCACGTGATACCTGTGAAGGAAGGGGTGTGGAGAGGAGGGGGAGTGGGTAGGAATAGCCTCAGATCTGTCACCCCTTTCATCCAGCTGGACTCTGGTCCAGCGGCAGACATGACAGGGATCGCCAGAGTTGACCATGGCTGTGTCTGGGGGGTGTCTGTGTTCACCAAGTGTCTTATTTTAACACTCTTCCTGTGGGGTTTATTTTATTTGAGAAGGTAAAGGTTAGTTCAAAGGGTTTTCTTACAATTCAGCTTGTGTATTAAAAGGGCTACGTATCCTGCACAGAAAGCGTCTTCGTGCATCTGGGCTGCTATTAGAAACGCTGCTAACTGGTACCTTATAACAGCAGAAACTTCTCATAGGACTGGAAGCTGGAGTACTGGGCGTTCAAGGTGCAGGAGGGGCCGACTCGGGGTCTGCTGAGACTGCTTCCTGGCTCATAGGGAGCACCTTCTCCTGGGTCCCTCACATTTTGGAAGGGCAGGGGCCTCTCTGGGTCTTTTTATAAGGACACCCCATTTGTGAGATGCCGTTCTCGTGACCCAATCAGCTCCAAAGGCCACACCTCCTAATACCATCACTTTGGGGCGAACATTTCAACATAGTGTATTTTGGGGGGGGGGGACATTTAGACTGTAGTAAGTGGGGGTTATTATGCTGGTTGTGATCATAGTGGTAGTGATTATGAGAGTGGAAGGAGGGAGAAGAGATGGAGGAGGAGCCACAGTGGTGGAATGGTGAATATTTACCGGGCTCGTCCCCGAGACCCCCCGTGGAATATGTCTGGAACACTGTGAAGCAGCGATTAACATCATCCCAGTTTTAGAGGTGATGTTTTGGCTGTTGAAGTGACTGTCAGTGGAGTTGATGAACGCCAGGGGTGAAGGTCAAACCCAGTTAGAAGGAGGGCCCGCACCTGCTCTCCCCTGCCACCGTTTAGACTCGGGGGACAAGGGCGCAGTGCCTACTTGTGTTTTTTGATTAACTAACTTCAAATGATGCATCGAATCTTTCTAAGCAACAATCTCCTCACATAGGAAGAGCTGACAGTAGCAGCCAACGGAGCTTAATTATTGGGTTAATGTGAGACTAGACAATGAAAACCCAAGGGCGGTATTGTTTATACAATGCTGTGAGTTCTTCAGGAACGAAGGCTGGTATTGGTACTTGATATTTTGAGCTTGGTGTAGTCATGCTAGTCAGGTTTCTGGGTCATCAGCTTGGAAAGCAGAAAGGTTCTGTGGACTCAGTTCATGACCTCTGGGTCCCTTGCTCTGGGTCTGAGAAGGCACATCACGGCAGGGAGCAGATCTCTTCTCAGCTCAGGGTGGCCGGGAACTGAGAGTGTGGTCTGGGGTCCCACAGTCTTCCTTCAGGGGCACGTCCCCAGGGCGTGAGCTTCTCCCACTAGGCCTCTTGAAGGTTCCCCCCCCCTCCCCCACCAATAGCACCACGTCGAGGACCTTTAACTCAGGGACCTTTGGTGGGCACGGAAGATCTGCCATATTTCAGTCGTGGTGTGCAGTTACACAAAGAGCATCCTCTAGAATCATACTCTCCCAAGCTGGTAGCTGGGAAGGCATGGGTGGCCCCCACCCGGCTGTGTATTTGCATCACTTGCAGGGAGCACCTAAAAACTGTTAATGCCTAAGATCCCCCCCACGTCAGGAATCTGGTTCCCTTGGTCTGGGGTAGCACCTCGAACATGCGTGTATGTGTGTGATATAGTCACACGTGTGTGTGTGTGTGTGTGTGTGCAGGTAACGTGTGTGCTTATGTGTGTGGGTGCCGCATTCTCCCAGGATGATTGTAGTGTGTTCTCTGACAGCCAGGGGGGCCATCTGTTGGCTCTGGCAGTTCCAGTGGACATCCTTCTATTGCTCAGTATCCCGTTTAACGAGGGCACCCCCCTGTTCTTTGGTGTCACGGTCTAGATGATAAATTGCCTAGTCCCCTTGCTGATAGAGAGCGGCTCTTCCCCTTGCGAAAAGGCATCGGCATAGTGTCTGACCCGGGCTTTCCGGGTCTCGGCCTGGACTCCTGTGAACGCCACTCGGCCATGCTGGGTGTCTCTTAGAGACACTTGAGAGAGCAGAACTGCTCCGTTTATCTACGGTAATGAAAACCCCTCCAAATAGGTCACGCTGGGTTCCCATGTCACCCAGCTGAGTATGGCAACGCAGAGGTCCCGCACCTGCCTGGCCCACTCAGGAGGAGGTTGTCTCAACAGTGGTGCTGACGACCTCCTCGACCTTCTCGTGAAACCTGTCAGTTGTTGGACTCAGAAAGCAGGTCACAGCCTCACCGCCGTCTCAGCGCTGCTTTCCGGAACATGCCGCGTGCCATCAGGGAGCTCGGTGGACGAGACGTTGCGACCTGCCTGCTGATGACATTCAGCAAAACTTCTGACCCCAAATTCCGAAGAGCTGTGACCTTCAGTTCCTCTGGCCGTGCGGAGGCCGTGCTTGCTAGACTCTCCCAGGGATGTCGGGTTTTCCTTTGTCTTTTTGCTGTGCTGGGGATTAGACTCGGGGCTTTGTGCTCTGCCCCTGAGCTGCATCCCCAGCCCCGCGGTGGGTGTCAGTTTTGATTTTGGGATCTAGGGCAGCCCGGCCCAGAATAGGCATGTACCAGAAGAACTCAGGGGGTTTCACGCAGGCGTGTTGATTTACAAGGCTTCACAAGAC